AGGCAACCAAATGCTTTGGTGTTGTTTGTAAAGTGTGGTAATTGATAGCTGACCTAGTGAGCACATCCCTGCAGTGGAACAAGTGAAAAACAATGACCCATTTTATTTTCTCTGAAATGTAAAACAAACAAACCTTCAAAAACTTTATTTAACACAAAAAGCATACATGACAATCAATGAAGACATTAAATAATGTATGGAGAGAACAGGAAGAATGTGTACAGGTCCATTAGTCTTAAAATGTACAGGCAAATACTTTATGATAGTGATAAATATCTGATAATGGAAAAAAGCATTTCACTAGAGGACAAAAAAAAATATGATCTAAATATTCAGGTTCCTAATTGTTCATAAACTGATGTACAGCTATAGAACACCACATATTGCCAAATACATATTAAACTCAAATGCAAGTTATCGCTAATCCACAATGATCAGTTCAGTTATGAGTTATCAGAGGATCACCAAGTCAACCAAACTAATTAATCTCAATGAAGTGGTCTGGGAGGAGACCCTCTAATTTTTAATGCTGCAATGTAAAAACTACAATGTTTACATTGGGGGAGGAGGCAGACACACATAGGGGCACTTCATAAACAAGATGACATCACGAGAGGCAGAGTGGGCATCAGCACCAATGAAATCTTGCCGCTGTTGAAAAGGTAAGTAATACCTGTTTTTTTAAATTATTTTTATTGCAGGTCGGGAGGGGGGCATATGGGATACGGGCCAACAGCATTAGAAACACAAGTTTGTATACTAAGACTATATAGTGTTCTTTTAAATTGCTGCTTTCCTTTAATAAGGCTATTTTGCTAATCGGAATAAAATGTGACACCGAAATGTATATAATTGTGTTCTCCTGATCCTGAATAAATCTCCTTCCTATTTGCACTACTCTGTGAAGTCTTTGGAATCTGATTTTGGATACTTCTAAGGGACTGCAGACCATTTCCTTTGTGCTCCAGGTGTGGTAGAAGACTCTATTGGGTTTCCTAAAAGCAACACTATCTTTGGAATAAGAAATGTGAAGTTCTGGCTATTAAATGTTGGCGGTAATATTTATTTAGCACATAAAAATCATATTTCTTCAAGAGAGCAAACAAACAGTTTAGAATATGCCTAATAAAAAAATGTAACTAAACAATATAAGCCTGCATGTATATAATGACAGAATAAAGAAGATCCTCTAATGCAGTCCATGAGTCCACACTACACAATGACCGGCAGGAGGGGAGAGCTCTATTTACCCATCCCGACTTATGGTAGACCCTGGAGAAGAAGTCAGACCATTTTAAAACTTATCTACTTACAATTTGGCAACATCAGGGCACTTCTGACATCATAACTACTATAGGGTGATGTAGTGATAATGGTACCATTAAAATTTATAATACACTTTCCAGTCCACAATTCACTAGCACTTTACACCACATCCCTAATCACAATATGTAAATATTTGTAAAATTATTTCTTTCCCTAATAACCATGCAACCATAAAGTCTACATCAAAGGCTGTGCGTTATGGTCTAGGTGCTAGAGCAGCGCTTGCCAACATAACTCTAGCTACTGCCGCACTATAACAACCTTCATCCTTTGGCAACACATCCACATGCTGTTTGCAGAGCTCAGCAACAGCTGGACAGTTATTTATTGCTTCTCCTGGTATAAAAAAAACTATCCAAAAACCCAATTGTGGATTGTGTAAATTACAGTGGATTGTGTAAATTATAGTAGGTTACCAGGAAATGAGCTAAAAGGGGTTACTAGAGTTCACTGGGTAAACATCACCTTATTAGTACTTTTTACTGCTCTAGATCTGCAGGACCACAAACTCTCAGGTTTTTATGATTTTAATTTTATTTTTTTAGACCCAGGTTGACTCACCTGTACTAAACCCACCAATGATAGCCTAAACCACAGCTGCTGTCTATTTACACTTCCCATGACTCGCAGCCAGCCCATTGTGTGGAACGTTAGCACACAAAAGGTGTGAAAAGAATCCTGACAGCCATCAGTGACCTGGCCCCTGGGGGCCCCTGGTGGTGTGTGAGGACCAGGAGATTCCCCATGTCAGGCAGTGGCTGGTGTTTATCACAGTGCCAGCTGGGGGGCTGTCAGGTCATGTTGGCAGTCAGTGAGGGGGTGCAGAGCTGCTCCCCCCCATGGGACACACAGGGCAGGATACTCACTCCGCTGCTCGCGAGCCCCATGTGGCTCTTTGCTGCGTACCCAGCGGCTCTTCCCTTGTAGCTCAGAACCCCTGTCGGTCCACACGCTGACTGAGCATGCGCAGCAGCCGCCGCCGCCGCCACCCGGTAGCAGAGCGCGCATGCGCCATAGAGCGACCGCTGAAAGCCCAATGCGCATGCCACAGCCTTTATCCTGAGCGCACACAGTAAACCGTCACTGGATGCAGTACGCATGCGTGGCTTAATCACACGTGTGGGGCTTGCTCAGAGTAACAATACCATGCTTCCCCCACCAGTACCACCACACAAATAATTCTCCTTCACAATCGAAATTCTGTCTGTATATATTCGAATATATTAAGATCTATCTGTATGTATTTGTATTTATTACAAACAAATATGTGTCTGTATATATTAAGATCTATCCAAGTATTGATATAGAAATTTATAACGGATAAATCATCCCAGTGATAACCACAGGCTCCTAATTAGATATACGAGCGCGCGGAAGAACCTATAATAAAACCACAGACACTTCGTTGTAGTCCAAAATCATCTTCTCAATCTTTAATGGGAGAGCATTGTGTATATAAAATGGCAATTAGTCTACTGCGCATGTGTGCATAAAAAAAAAAATAAGACCAAAGAAAGTGGTGCAATGTGGACTTTTTGCCAAATTGTGCATTTTGATGCAGCTTCCCATAGTAGCAAGTGCTTGGTTATCATTAATCACACACAGGAGGCTTCAGTAGACTCTATATGGCTGTCAACAGAGCAGGAGAAAAGAACTTGTAAATTATATAAACAGTGCAAAATAAATGGTTTATTTAATAACATGAGAATTTATGTTTAATAACGTGAGAATTCAAAGTGAATTTCAAATTTAACGTCAAAACTACTGAAATGGAAAAATTCTAGAAGTCAGCTATGCTTCCATTTCGGCTACTGTGGACTTAAAGGAACACTATAGTCACATAAATTACTTTAGCTAAATAAAGCAGTTTTAGTGTATAGATCATTCCCCTGCAATTTAACTGCTCAATTCACTGCCATTTAGGAGTTAAATCACTTTGTTTCTGTTTATGCAGCCCTAGCCACACTTCCCCTGGCTATGATAGACAGAGCCTGCATGAAAAAAAAACTGGTTTCACTTTCAAACAGATGTAATTTACCTTAAATAATTGTATCTCAATCTCTAAATTGAACTTTAATCACATACAGGAGGCTCTTGCAGGGCCTAGCAAGCTATTAACATAGCAGGGGATAAGAAGATCTAAAGTAAACAGAACTTGCAATAAAGAAAGCCTAAAGAAAGCCTCTTTACAGGAAATGTTTATGGAAGGCCGTGCAAGTCACACGCAGGGAGGTGTGACTAGAGTTCATAAACAAAGGGATTTAACTCCTAAATGGCATAGGATTGAGCAGTGAGGCTGCAGGGGCATGTTCTATACATCAAAACTGCTTCATTAAGCTAAAGTTGTTCAGGTGACTATAGTGTCCATTTAAAGGAACAATATAGACACCTAAGACGACTTTATCTCAATAACTCTGTTTGCCATGTTCCCCCTGTTTTACTGAAAATGCAGGGTTTACAGTGCTAACACTGTAGGGACATTTTTGCCGCACATACTCAGTAGCCTCCCAAAGCTTTCCTTTGAGAAAGCATTCGATTGATGATCTCAGCTATGGAGGCAGGGCCAGCCACGGCAAGTCTGGTGCGGCTTGTGTGAAAAGGTGAGTAAAATCATCTTTTTACTGCACAGAGAGAGGGCCAGTCATCTAAACAGCAATTGCAGCACTAGAGTGTTACGAATACATGTTTGTATTCCTGACACTATAGTGTTCCTTTCAGACTGACTGAACTACAGGGGATTCCCAAATTCCTAATACTTATCTCTCCCCACTAGCCAGTTTAAAGGAACACTATAATGTTTGGAATACACAGCTGTAGTGCCCCTCTGCCCTCCCTTGCAGTTTCCCCCATGGCAATTAAAGGGTTAAATACCCTTTAAAACCACTTATTCCAGTGCCAATGCCACTCCCCCTGGCTATGTCTATACTTCATTCAATGTCAGTTCTTAGGGGGAAACTCATGTGCATTCGCGATTAGCTCTGTGAGCATTGGGTTTTCCCATGGGAAAGCATTGATTCAATACCTGAGGGGCATTGTAAATGTGTATAACTGTTGCTCGAGATGTCATGACGTTGGCTCATGTGTGCCACATCGTAAAAAGAGGCGTGGAGCTTACATGCTACAGGGATTGGGGTAAAGTGACACAAAAGGTAAGGATAGTATTAGACTAATGACAGTTGCAAGAGAGGAATCAGTCTGAAACATTTAACAGTTTAATTGATACGCTTTTATGAAGAAGTGGGTTTTTAATGATTTTTTGAAGGAGTGGAGACTAAGTGAGCATCTAGCACAGGAGGGAAGTGAGTTCCACTGGAACGGTGCAGCCATCGAGAAGTCTTGAAGGCGATCAGAGGTGGAAGTACGGACAGAAGATAGACGTAAGTCTTCAGCAGAGCATAAGGGCCTAGATAGGATATACTTGTGTATTAGGGAGGATAGATAGGTGGGAACAGCATTATGTAGAAATTTGAAAGCAAGAACCAGAATTTTAAATTGAGACCTATATCTTACAGGAAGCCAATGTAGGGACTGACAGAAGGGTGAGGCGTGGGTGGTGCTGGCGGACAGGAAGATGAGCCTCGCCACATCAATCATTATGTAACCGTGCAAGTTGGGAGCACGTAAGACCACTGAGAAGTGGATTACAGTAGTCAAGGCGAGAAAGGACAGTGGAATGGACCAGTACCTTAGTCGCATCTGGCGTTAAGTAGGGTATGTTTTTGCAATGTTTTTGAGATGGAAGCAGCAGGATTTGGCGATAGACTGAACATGAGCCCGTGAAGAAGAGGTCGGAGTCAAAGAGAGCACCTAGACAGCAAGACTGCGTGGTGGAGCTGATAGTAGCACCTTTGACTTAGAGGGAGACAGACACAGGAGTAGCAACACTTGAGGGAGGAAAGACCAGAATTTCAGTTTTGGTCAAGTTTAGTTTAAGGAAGTGGGCAGCCATCCAGTTACAAATAGCAGAGAGGCAGTCAGAGACACTAGTCAAGAGGGAGAGATCAGGAGAGGACAGATAGATTTGCATGTCATCCTCATAGAAATGATATTGGAAACCAAAGGAGCTAATGAGTTTACCAAGGGAGGCAGTATAGATGGAGAACAGTAGGGGACCAAGGACTGAACCTTGGGGGACACCAACAGAGAGGAGTTGGGGAGAAGTAGTAGAGCCAGAGGAAGAAACACTGAAAGAATGCTGGGAGAGGTAGGAGGAGCACCAGGAAAGAGCAATATCTTGTAGACCGATATTGCGGAGGATGAGAAGAAGCTGTTGATGACCAACAGTGTCAAAAGCCGCAAAAAAGGTCAAGGAGAATTAGGATAGAGTAGTGACCACAGGATTTTGCAGCGAATAGATCATTGGATACTTTGGTCAGTGCCATTCTACAGAGTGCTTAGCGCGGAAACCAGGCTGAAGCGGGTCTAGCAGAGAATTGGACTCGAGGAAGTCTGTCAATCTCACAAACACCACTCTTTCAAATATCTTGGATGCAAAACGCAGTAGCTTAATAAGACGGTAATTGGACAGGGAGTTAGGGTCAAGGTTGGGCTTCTTTGGAATTGAGGTTACAGTTGCATGTTTGAAGGGCGATGGAAATATGCCAGAGGAGAGAGAGAGATTGAGAATTTTAGTGAGAGGTAGAGAAAGAGACGAAAGAATACGGATAAGATGTGAGGGAATAGGGTCTAAGAAGCAGGTGGTGGGGAGGGAGGACTGGAGCAGAGAAAAAAACCTCTTCCGCTGTAGCGGGTGCGAATGAACATAGAACAGCAGAGCGCGTGAGCTTAGGGGAAGTATTGTAAGGGAAAGAAGAAAGATGAGAGATCTCTTTCCTGATTGTAGAGATCTTGTCAGTGAAGTGAGTTGCAAAGTCTGAGGTGGTGAAGTTAGTAGGTGGAGGAGAAACAATAGGGCAAAGAAGGGAGTTAAATGTGTGAAATAGTCGTTTGGGTTCGCGGGAAAGTGTGGTTATGAGGGTATTGAAGTAATTTACTTTTGCAGAGGAAAGAGCCAAGCTGTATGAGCGCAGCATAAATTTATAGTGGAGAAAGTCAGACGCACAGTGAGACTTTCTCCAACAGCATTCAGCATTTCTGGAGCATTTTTGAAGATATCGAATCAGCTTGATGTTGGGGGCGCTTGCTGCGTTTAAATGTAGGAGGTGCCATGATGTCTAGTTGAGAGGAGAGGGTGGAATTGTAGAAGGAGGTTGCAGAGCTAGGACAGGTGAGGTTTGAGATAGGTAAAAGGAGAGTTTGGAGATTAGTAGAGAAATGCTCTAGATCAGACGTTCAGACAGTGGTGTCAATTGGGTCTTAAGTATGCCGAGTGTAATTTATCAGAGAGTCATGTGATCGGTGGACAAAGGGCAAATAATGTGTACAAAGTAGTATAATAACATAATAAGGGCCCTGCTCTACAATAGTCTCCAAACCGTTGTGATTTCAGCAGGACAGTCTCTAATATTTCAGTGCTAGTAGAGTATAACAAAGTTAGTTAAAAAAGAAATCTAAGCACTAGTTTCAGGTACAACAAGCAGAGTAAGAAGACAGGAGAGCCATATGAAAAATTAGAGTAAGCAAGAAACGCCAGAACAGGCAGAGACACTTAAAGTCTAAGTATTATGGACCCCTCATCCTATGCCCAATTTAGGTAAGAGCAGTGCCTGCATGTCAGGACTTTGATTAGGCCCAAGCAAGCCCCTACTCCGACTAAGAGCTGAAATTAGAGCCATCACCAATTCTCCGTGGACCCAGTTAGTAATCATGCTTAAAGGACCACGACCACTATAGTGCCAGGAAAACAAACTAGTTTGCCTGGCACTGTATGATCATTAGGTCCCACCCACCCTCAGGGCTCCCCTCCTGCTGGGCTGAAGGGGTTAAAACCCTTTAAATGTTCTTATAACTGGTATGTAGACGTACATTTTCACAGTTTACATCTTGACTTTCCTCTTATGTAAATGTAGAT